AATGCCATGGCACTCTACCCAGGGGGACAGCTTGAGGCTCTGTCTCAAAAAAAAAAAAAAAAAAAAAGAACTTTATTTGATTTAGTTTCTGAGCTCAGGGAGCTTCTTCCCTAGCTGCTGTGTATTCCCTGAAGTTCAGCTTGAATTTAGGAGGGATTAAGACTGCCTTCACTTGTGATGCTAAAGCAATAAATTTAGAGGCAAAGAACCAACACTGACAGTGTAGGGTGCTGGGAGCCAAGTCCCCTCTGAGATAACTGGAGATGGGACAAGAGTTCTGAAAACCCAATGTTCACTGAACCACTCCTACTCTGAAAAAATAAAAATCCTATATAGCATAAACCTGAGAAATGATTGTATTATTCCAGGAGGGACGGGGAAGTAGACAAGTTGCTGAGGATCAGGTTTGCTTGGTTGTGTTCATTCTTCCGCTCTGTGCCAGACCTCCTGCTGGGCATTTGCACCTGAAGTCTCCCAGTGTCTGTCTGTTGGTGGCAGAGGCAGCCTGAGAAAGGCCCCCTTGGTGTAGAAAGTGTCAGCAGGGAGGAAGTCCTTCCTTCACACCCACACAGCCACACCACTTCCTGTCCATGATCCCACCCTGTATTGCACCAGCCAGCCTTGAAACTTGGGGTTTCCATCACTGAATCAGGCACCAATTTTGGCCTCAAACTTGGTTAAGAATGATGACTCTTCACGGACAGGAAAGTGAGAGATCCAAAAGCCCCTCTCTTCTTTCCCAGAGATGCTGGGGTCCTTGTAACCCCAGGGTATTCACTGACACCGGCCATGTGGGCTTTGCCCCAGCAAGAACTGGAAGGAAGGGGGCGGTCCCAACTCTCACTGACAAATGCCTTCGCTCCCTCCACATCCAGGAAGTCCTGACAAGGTCGGCTAAGCCACAGGAAGAAGAAGGCTTGTAACAGAGAGCTAGGGAGTGAAATGAAAGAAGAATGGAGAAGAGAGGAGGGGAAGGAAAGAGGAAGGGAAGGAAAAAGGAAAGATGGACAGAGGAAGGGAAGCAGGTAATGGGGATCCTGGCACTCTGAACCTAAACCATCTCTCCCTCGGAGAAGTTAGTGCTGAATCCCCAGAAGGGTATGCTGGTGGAGTCCCCGCTCAGCGCCCCCAAAATGCTGTGTAACTTGAGGTGTGAAGGTGGAGTTATGGAAGGCCAGAATCTTCCGAAACAGGCCTACCCTGGAAGTCATGGGAACTTTTCTGGACTGCCCATCTAAAAATTGACCACCTTGATGAAAAGGTCCCATCCTATCTATCTGGGACAAAGAAGATAAGTGTGGTCAACCATGCCATGGACATCATCATCATTAGCATGACCCAAACCAAAAGTTTATATTTAGCAGGTATGGATGAAAGCTAAGTCCGGAGCTGTATTCAGGGGAGACTCTGCCCCTGGACACTGCTCACCTGCTCTTTTGGTTATTCTGTCATAACCTTTTCTGGTACAATATTCTTAAGAAGACCAGAAATGGGCTCGGCGCCTATAGTTCAGTGGCTAGGGCGCCAGGCACATACACTGGGGCCGGTGGGTTTGAAACTGGCCCAGGCCTGCTAAACAACAATGACAACTACAACAAAAAAAAGGTTGTGGCAGGCGCCTGTAGTCCCAGCTACAAGGGAGACTGAGGGAAGAGAATCACTTAAGCCCAAGTATTCGTTTTTTTTTTTTTTTTTTTTGAGATGGGGCCTTAAGCTATCCCCCTGGGTAGAGTGCCATGGCCTCACAGCTCACAGTAACCTCCAACTCCTGGGCTCAAGCGAGTCTCCTGCCTCAGCCTCCCAAGTAGCTGGGACTACAGGCGCCCGCCACAGCGCCGGGCATTTTTTGGTTGCAGCCATCATTGTTGTTT